TTTTACAGGGCTTCAGTCTTTCACGGGGCGAGGTGAAGTCGGTCTGGTGTGATGATTTCAGCCTCCACAGCAGCCATGCCACCCTGAGATGTTTTAATAACTACAAGCCCAATTTGTCAAGTTACTGAGGCCTGATATCACGTTGCACTGCAGCATATGTCTGCTCTCTGAGTTGTTGCCTCCCCAGGGTCCCCTGCTTCATAAATCAAATTAGCACTACAGTCCACATGGCTGTCATATGATTTACATGTGAGCTGGACGGGAGCAAACCAAAGTTATAAGGTCTGTTTCTAACCATTTAATTCATTCAAAATCCCCACAGAAAAAATAACGTGTGAGTGACCTATACCACACTCTTAATAGTTAACAGTCCTCAGTGGGAGGCCAGTCATGCGTTTTCAAGAACATCTGTGATAAACCTGCTGTAGTTCAATCAGATCGGAGGCTGAATAGAAATGGAGAGTGGAGGCTGCTTCAGTCTGATCTCTCAGGTCTTAGCGAGGATTTTAAAGTGCTGAGAGGCTGTGAGGAGCAGCAGCACAGTGGGAGGTGAATGAGCTGCAGGAGGAGGAGGAGGAGGTTGTGAGGCACAGAGGAGAGAATCTGGGCTGTCTCAAGGGGAGAAGGGGGTTTGTGTGTGTGTGTGTGTGTGTGTGTGTGTGTGTGTGTGTGTGTGTGTGTGTGATACAGGGTGTATAGGCTGACAGATGTGTCCATCAAGGCCTGAAAGAATCATCTTACATCGACTGCATCCATCTGCCAGCCTGGCGTTGCAAGATTTTGTGAAATCAAAACAATGTCTTGAAATGCAAAAATGATGAACCCCATTCATGAAACAAGAGGGAGGAAAGTTTTGAGGATTTGACTCAAAAACCAAACTTTTCCAATGAAAAACTGAATATTGAGAAAATGTTAACAATAAGCTACATCAGACATCTGAGTTTTAATTAAGCACATTATAGTTTCACATTTCTCCTTATCTGTGTTTGTTTTTATATTTCGGACATATAAGAAATAATAATTTGATGTGTTAACTTGGTGTTGAAGATACTTAAAATCAGTCCGTAGTTTAATATAAAAAATGTGTGGTATAAAGAGTGGCTGGTAGTGTTTCGCCAACACCCAAAGTTGTTTGCCTTGAGCAAAGTTTTCATTTATCCACCGACACCATTAGCACCCACTCATTCGCGGCGTAGCAAATTAGAGAAATTAGCACCGGACACCTTTCCTCTCCAGCAGTGTCTTTCTCTCCACACTCCCCGGTCAGCTGGGACATGTGATCCCTGCAGCGTGTCCTGGTTCTGCCTCTTGAGCGTCCACCGGCTGGCCGAGCGTGAAACGTGTCCAAAGGGAGGCATCCAGGGAAGAACCCAACCAGGGAAATTCAGCAAAAAATGTGGGTGAGATTACTTTGTATTTACTAGTGATGTCCATACAGAAAGGCTAAACATATAACTGCAGAGACTTCACATCTAACACATTCAAGAGATTGAGCTTCTAGCCTTCAAATCCAGGTCCCAAAGGCCTGTCGGAAAATAGACAAGAAGTATTTTATGCCAACCAGGCATTAAACAAAGAATGACTGCATCAAGGAACACTTTTCTTTTGCCAAAGACACATTCAATGCTTGTTCCCCTTTCTGCTTCACATTCAGAAGTCTAATTTTCGGGATGTATCCTCATCCATCATACCGCTATCAGCTTTCACTTTAACAGTGACTTTGGTGTTGCTGCACCGCCCTCCATATAGATGGCAATAACCTCTGCAAACCCACCCTTGGCCTTGTACCGCCAATAAAAACCCAAAAGAAACATCTCAACCCGCCCCCTCAACATTTAGACTTTAACTAGGGGTGCTCCTGACCTCCATCGCCCGGTGAGAAGAAGAAGAAGCTCTGTGTTTGACTTTGGACAAGGATTCCTGTGGACGTTTAGTGTCTGTGAATCCATCATTGTCACGGTTAAATAGGATCGGGGGTTTTAAGGATACTTTGTGGGGGACGGGTTAACTAACACTTTCCTATTAGCAACCACCATACAAACCCTTGGTGACATTGTTTCAAGAAGAACATCTGCTGTAACAATACACAATCACTGAGTTGGACTATGTTTGGAGTGAAGTTGAAATGGCTGCAACGAATGGAGAGTGTTGTGTTTGACTGTTGCAAAGAAATCAATGTAAAACTTTTGAAAACAATCAAGAAAAATAAGTGTTTATAAAGGACTGTCAATACATTCACATCATGCAGGAATACATCAGACACAACATAACAAGCAAGACAAATCAACGATAAATGCCAAGACAACAAAGTGTCAGAGGAGCACTTAGCAACCCTAAATATGAATGTGGCAAATGTCCATCTGTATTTAAACAAGCGCGACCAACTGAGCGTGTGCAGCTATTGAGAGTGAAGCATTTAGGCTCTCTTTCACAAAGCGCCCGAGGGCTAAAACCTTACACCCCTCCCACCTTCATTATCCCTGCCGCACTATGATCAGCACCAAATGCCGACTATCCCAGGCCAGCGCTCACAAAGCATGCTGGGAAGGACAAAAGCAGACCTTCAGCCGATTGGTTCCACCTTATTAACAGCTTGTAATCTTCTCATGTCTTTGGACAGGCCTCACAGAGCAGGAGTTAGGGCGAATAGACGAGTGTGTCCTCCGTTGCTGCTTTGATGCAGAGCAGCCTTTTCCCCTCTGAAAAGTCCTGCTCTGTTATATTTCCATTGTGGCCACTGCACCTGTTTGCCCACAGGGACACATGGAGAAATCAGTCACTGGCAACTGTTAATTTCTCATTAGACTCTGCACATCGTAAACAGAAGACAGTTTGGTATGTGAAGACCATGGCAGGTGCACCTCCTTGTTATAGTGGACTTTTATGTCTGTTACTTAATATAATAGGATTTTGTAAGTTGAATTGTTACTTACACTAAATTAATTAGTTGTTTTTTTAAGAAAGTTTGATTCAATTTGTTAACGTTTTTGATATTTGACTTGACTTTTAACAGCAGTTTGATTGGAGTTTTGAATTGGAAAAACAACAACTTGTAAACATAACACATTTTTTTAACATATATTTTCTATTTTCTATATACCAGAAGTCTTTTTGTGCTCTTGTCTTGTAGGGTTATTTGCTTAGTTGCATCCTTGTCAATTCAGCGAGTTAATATTTATTTATATTGCACAGATTCTGATTTGTCATTTTATGTTGGTTTTTAAAAGTAGGTTTTCAGGGGCACTGTAAGGCTAGCCAATGTTTAAACAGCAAGTGAGACAGTTGTTGAAAAACAGATGAGGACACAGAAAATAATCGTCCCTATTTTGTGGAGCCTTCTTCAGACATTGTCACCATAAGTCTTCCCGGCGAGGCAGAGAAAACACATTGACACACCATCAAGTGACACAAAAGAGCTCAATCAGACACCTGATGTAAATTGACACCATTAAGTCAAGATTGCCTGTGTCTTGAGTTCATTTGTGAAACTGTCTTTATATTATCCAGTGAGGTGGATTGATAATTATACCAATTTGTATTCAATTAAAGAGCCAATAGAGGTTGTTTTGTGTGTGTGTGTGTGTGTGTGTGTGTGTGTGTGTGTGTGTGTGTGTGTGTGTGTGTGTTTGAACAAGGAAACGTCTGCCCTGGTGGTCCAGCAAAGGAAGAATTCAGCTTTCTTTTTCTCCTTAAGAAAAACTTAATTTATCAGTAAGATTAAAGGGAGTAAACAATTCTAAGAAAATTGCTAAATATTTTGAAATGTAATTTGCAGTGTATATCCTGTTTAGTATGCCAAATTAGTGTCTGATTTGTTCAGTTTTAGTTTTGCATTTATTTATACAAAATCTTACATTTTGTAAAGGTTGTTTTCATTTTCCACAAATTCCACAACATGTTGGAAAAACCTGAAGGTCCAACTTATTTATTTTAAACGTGTACACAGCTGAAACATCAGTTGAAACAGTAAGAACATATGTGCTCCATTAAGAATGACTGTTTAAATTGCTAAAAAAATACACAAAAATGAGCCTTATCCCCACTGGAGTTTTTTTTTATTTCAGTGGTGTCACTTTGGGTGTATTTTTCATCCTGTATTGTGGGATAAATTGAGCCAGGAGTTTGGCTGAGGTGTCTTCCTGTTTGTCAGACGCAGGAAACGGCTGCACACAGACGAGGCATTTAGCTCCCAGGTGCAGACCCACCATTGGAGGGCCTTGCCCAGATGGATATTACTCCTTCCACCATAAAGACACTAGTCTTCCCTGCCCTGAAGCCCCCGGTACTCCTGCCCTGATCCAGCCTCATCAAAAGGAGCCTGGAAGCTGGGAGGCGGATATGCTGGGCTGAACCCCAAATCAAGCTCACTTTTCTTTCCCTTGTAAGCAGAGGATAAAAAAAGTGGGGGAGGTGCGCCTTTCTGGTAGACACCAGCTTCTTTCTTTCTCCTCTTCTCTGACTTCTGTATGTGGCTCCTTGCAGGTGTCCTTTTTCTTCTATTGACACTGAAACCAGATCCCTGAATACAGTCAAAACCATCATGGCTTGTTTTCTTTCATTAGTCAGTTTATTACCCCTCATTGTTAGAGAGGCCCTCAGTCAAGAAACAAGGCACACACACACACACACACACACACACACACACACACACACACACACACACACACACACACACACACACACACACACACACACACACACACACGCACACATTCATCCTGGCTGCCTGCACTCTGTTCCCCTGCAGGTGCGAGGGCCATCCGCCTGCCTCTTTTCATGAGGCCCTCCCTTTCCTGTCCGTCTGCAGCCTTCCATTCAGCTTCAATCACAGCACCAGCCGGACGCCACCGGAGAACTGACAGGGAAGGGAAGCGCCTCCACACACATCTTTCACTTGTTGAACGACAAGAGAAAGAGCGGCTGGGGAGAAAAGAAAGGGTCTTCCTCCTCTGCATCTCCTTCTGCTTTCATCGTAAACAACTTGCTTTCTGTTTGTAACGGTGCTGTCCTTCCCCTCTTCCCCCTGCCTTCCTTTTCTCCCGCTCAGATGGGCTTTACAAGGAAAAGAGGGGGTGGAGGAGTGAAAAGGAGGAAGACGGCAAGGCTCCCTGTGCAACGGAGTGATGCTGAGGTCTTTTTGTGGCTCATGAATGGCACATTTGAGGTTTCCAGCCTTGCTCGGTGCCCCAAGCCAGCTTCACCTGTGGTTGGAGTCAATTGGCCTGTTGTCTGCACGTCTGGAACCGTGCCCAGCTCTCTGCCAGCCAATTTGGTTAGCGTAGCTCCTTAGAACTGAGCAACAATAACCTCCACCTCAAATCCATCAATTAACTACTAGCACACAATGATGTATCCATTCACTGTTTGCCAAAACTGTTCTCTGACACAATTAACACGCATGCTAATACTGATTATACCTGCCCTCTGTCACATAACAAAGTGCCGATTATCTTAATGGCATCCAAGTTGTTAAATGGCTGTAGAGGTGCATTCCATTAAGCCCACACTGTTGTGCCTTTTGTGAGTGCTTTCAATTAACTTCACACAAAGAAAAAGTAAAAGCAATGTTGCTCATGTTGTCAGGTGCTAACAAGAGTCTTCACTGGTGGCTTTTAGGCACAGTGTTGCTTTGAGCCAATGCTAACATCAATGTGCTAATATGCTCACAATGCTAACTCGCTGATCTCTAAGCTAATGTACATCACACTCACCATCCTATGTTGGTGTGTTAGAATGCTAACAATGACTAATTAGCACTAATGACAAAGTACAGCTGTACAGCTATACAAATGAAGCAGTAAAAGTATCTTATCATGCCAATAACTAGTTAGTTATGACAGTCTATTTCACTATAATACTCTTTTTTTCTTTATGCTTCTTAACATACTTTTACTTTAAGTAAAAAACTAGTAAAACTATTTAGAAATGATATGATCGTCACAAATGGAATTCACAAACGACTGAAACAAATTATAATTTTGCTTTGATTTTCCAAATGCTTGGTATCGTAGCATTATGAATGTTTTGTCTTTTGTGTAAGATTTTTTGTATTCTGCTTATTAGTTTGACTTCATTGTACTGTAGCTTCACCGAGATTTACCAAGATTTAATTCTCTTTTACATGGGTGTCCTGGCAAAGATAGCAACAGCGAAAAGAACATTTGAAATATAAAATGCACAGTTTAGCCCATAAGACGTTCCTATCTATTGCTCATGTTCAATTTGAGTTTCATTAAAGCCATCTTAAAAGTGAAAGCTCCATTTGGAATAATACAAAATGACAACACAACTTTCAAAATAAAATGCATACAAAACAATGTAGACTTAACTGTTAACCACATACAGGATGTTAATTGGATATTTTAATTTAGCTTATAGTTTGCTTGTGTGTGGTTTAGAAAAAGAGATCCTGATCTGTGGGATTAAGTAAATGATCCACTGATCCCATTTTCATTTTCTTGCCTTAATTAGTCTTAATTTTCACTGGGATTCTGCTAGTGTTGTAAACCTCTACCGTTGTTTTTCATTTAACTGTCAAATCAAATAAAAGTCAGACATATACATGTGTGTTTCTAAAGAGCACATCATGTGTCTGGGAGGAGTTGAGCTGAGGTGGGGGTATGTGAGGGCAGCATTTAGCTCACTTTTCAACTGTGTGAGCTGTCATTCTCACCACACGCAGCTGTGGAAATGAGATAAAACTGAGCTGCCACTTTAGGAAGCTCTCATTCACTCACTTGCTCAGCCAGAAACCTCTGAAGCCAAAAGTAAAAACTTTTGGTGACTCTTCATTGTGCTGGATGGCAGCTGTTTTCTGCAGCAGAGGGGAGATCAACAGGTGGAGGAAATGAAGGTTTGATTTTTTTCACTGTGTGGATTTTTAAAGAAGAATTTAAGTGTTTTTGCTTTGACCATTTTTTGTTTTTCTCTCAAACTTTATCTTTTGCTGAGGCAGTTTTGAAAGAAGACCAGACTATGAATGTGCTGTCAAACCCAGGGATCAGGGGGCAGGAGCAGTCTCTCCCTCTCTGTGGCCCCCGGTCGGTCCAGGACTTACCCCACTGCCCCCCAGGGTTCAGCTCCCGCCTGAATCCTGCCCCAATGCTCGGCCTCCAGAGCGGACAAAGACCGCCCAAGCCTCAGAGGGAGCTGAGCCAGGAGGAGCAGCAGGACCTCAGGAGGAAGATCAACAGCAGGGAGAGGAAACGCATGCAGGACTTGAACATCGCCATGGATTCTCTGAGGGAGGTCATGGTGCCGTATGCCTCCTCTCCATCCTCTGCCTCCCCCCCTCACTCCCACCAGGCCGGGGCCCCTCCAGGCCGCAGGCTCTCCAAGATCTCCACCCTGGTTCTGGCCAGGAACTACATCCTCCTCCTGGGGTCTTCTCTGCAGGAGATGCGGCGGCTGCTGGGGGAGGTGAGTGTGGGGATGGGGGTGAACACAGGACCGGTCCCCCGGCTGCTGCTCGCTGGAGGGTGGCCCCTCATCTCTGGCCCCAGTCAGCTCCTCCTCACCCAGGAGTCCCTCCTCACGTCAGCAGCCTCGTCCTCTTCCTCCTCGTTGGCATCTGCTGCTAAATGTCCCCTGATGTCCCCAGGTCACATGGAGGCCTCGCTGGCCCCTGTGCACTGGAGCTCTGCGGGGGCCTCCGGAGGGCCCCTGTGCCCCTGTGGAGTCTGCAGACTACCCAGATTTAACCACTCCAATCCGGTCCCAAGATTTCCAAAGTGACACTTCGGGGTTGAAGTTACTAAATGGACTTGATGACTGTTACCAGTGTGCCACGCTTTTTTATATGAATTGTTATTTCTAACATTTAGAAGATGTCTGTAATAATTGACTGCAATAACTCACTTTTTAAACCTGATGGAGCCATTCTGTATTTGGAAGCCAGTGTCTTTTTATGTATAAGTATGTTTATAAGTAAATGTAATAATGCCAGTTTTGTTTGAATTATATATATTTAAATACTTTTTAGGGAAGCAGAGAAACAACTTGCTACTTCTATGCTTATTATTGGAAATGTGAGCTGTCATGACTGAGTGTTTGTTGCGTTTCAAGTGATTTGCCTTTTTTGTTGGAAAGCAGTCACAAAAATAGGGGCCTAGAACTAGAGGGGTCCCATATCAATACATTTTATGAAATAAAAAGTATGACGTATAGCAGCAGTGAAAACACATTGTTGATTTCAGATGAGAGATATTTGTGTTTTTGTCTGTGCTCATCTCTCTGGTTTGAAGTAGGCTTGCTTGTATTTTTAGACAGACCCAGCAGGCTCTTGATCCTATAATATTGTGTATTTAAAAAATACACATATTGTTTTATGTCTGAATATATATGTTAGTTTCCTCATTATGTTCCACAAAATCCATCCATAACACCACATCAGTTTCTCGCTAATGTCGTCTCAACTGCATTAAGTTAAATTAAAGAAAAACGAATGCTACAGTATGCCAAACTATCTTGAGAAGTAATGCACTGGCTAAATTGTATTTTGTGCCATTTCACATTCATTGGTTCTTCACTGCTGACGAGGTGCTGAGCTTTAAAGCCTCCTTTACCCTCCACACCCCAAAATACTGAAACAGTCCTCATCCCTTCCTCTATTCATCACCCCAACAAGCAAAAGATCAAAACCCACCCGTGTAATTACTGCTGCGCAGAAAGGAGGCCTTTTGATTATTAGCCCCCTCTCTTTCCTCCATCCTCAAATTCTTGATGTTTCTCTGTGTTAAGGTGCCGGGATGGGTGATTTGGTGCTACTCATTACACTCACTCCACAATATGTTCAAACGCCCAGAAAATGTGTCTCGCTGAATGGGGTTCACTCCTGCAAACTCGCCACCCCTCTGGAAGAAAGCAGGCAGCCCCTTTCTGAGCGAGCATAAGAGGCGCCGGTAGGAGGGAGGATATTCTCAGCCACAACCTGGCCCTTAGCACGGCCTGCATGAATACAAATAATCATAATCATAATGCTGATAAAATACTCAAAATAATTGCTACCCCGGAATAAGAGGATTATGCAGGGCAGATATGTGAATAGTGGCGAGTGAAAGGCTGGGAATCTATTAGCATCAGGGTGGACAAAAGAGGAGCTGGATGCCATTAAGTGAGATTAACCTAAATAAGGCTTGATTTTCTTACAAGGAAACAGGAGGAAGGAGAAGAGGGTGAGAGTGAAGGAGGAGAGGAGGGGGAGTGAGGGAGAGCCTGATTCATAGATCAAAGTAAGATGGCCAAACTTCACGTCTTTCATTTACATATAGCTGCTTTATCTCTGGAGGGATTAGCTACCTTGCTATTTTCTCCGGGTTGCTCTCCATTCTGCCACCTTTTGCCCACCATCCTTTCCCTCCTGCTCTCAGGATGGTTCAGCCCTTCTTCTCTTCTCTTCTTTTTTTTTTTTTTTGTCCGGCTCCTTAATTTCTCCCCCCTCTCATTCTCTGCCTTTCTCTGGGTTTCTCCAAGAGGCTCTCACTTTCTCGAGTTTGGTGGTTTCATTGTTGCAGCGACGCAGGGGTCTGGTCAGTCTTTGTGTTAGCACTTTAACTCATCTCCATTTCATCACTGTTGTTCAATGGGGCGAGGAGGGCTTGTAAGACAATACACACACACACACACACACACACACACACACACACACACACACACACACACACACACACACACACACACACACACACACACACACACACACACACACACACACACACACACACACACACACTCACACACACACACACACACACACACACACACACACACACACACACACACACACACACACACACACACACACACACACACACACACACACACACACACACACACACCACACACACACACACACACACACACACACACACACACACACACACACACACACACACACACACACACACTACCAGAAAAGAAGGCTAAGCACTGAATTCTTCTCACTCTTAGCACATCCAATACCTTTGTCATTGTTTTTTTTACCATTGGTCATTTTCCCTCTGTTTAACTAGACCTGACCTACAGGGCCTCATAAGAACAATGACAATATAACAATACATTCCATGTAGACATACACAGGCAACACAAGAGTAAAATGGTACAAATGGACATTCATAACACCCAGTTTAGATTCACAAACAGCTCTACAGAGTTTCCAAAATTAGGTAAAGTAACATTCCAAATATATACTATTATATATTGAGTGAATATAAAAGAAACTAAATGAATTCAAAGCACTGACCATAATTGTTTTTTTATGGCCTTTTGACAACTCACCAACTAACTTAAGCTCAAACAACTTTTATTTTTCTTTAGTTAAAGTCAAGTATGTTGGTATTTTCTTTCTGCAACTGAGGCGCAACGGGTAGAACAGCTTCTCTTATAATCTGAAAGCTGGCGGTCCGATCCCAAACTCCTGAAGCAGATAACATCCAATTTCCAGCCATCCATTATATTTAATTTAACAGTGACTGGAGTATAACTCTAACTTAAAGTTTTAATATTGTTACCACAATGAGGAATATCTTCAACTCTGAACAAAGTAGTGTTTAAACCCAAAATACAATATTTCCTAATAATTCCCTTGTGTTAACACAGTGTCACATTATATACCTGAAAGGTTTTCACCAATAATATATGGTCACTGACAAATGATATCATTCTCCTGAAAGAGGCTTTAGATCTAGAGAGGGTGATTCCAATGGATGCACTTTGTTGTCTGATTTAGAGGACATGTTGCAGGGAATTATGTATTATTATATTAACTATTGCAAATTGCTAAAACATTGTCAGTAAATGTTTATCGGGAGATGCAGGATGGCTATTGTATAAGCCCTGTAAAACACTCTGAGGTGTCCTGATATGGAAATCGAATGGACTAGAAAAACACAGCCTGCCTTATGCTTTGGCATTCTCTAGTGCTTGTGTCAGATTTACATGTGCGTACACAGAAGTCAACCATTCAGTAAACAGCGGTGAAGAAGCTTTATTCTACAACACTTGTTGCCAAACTGCCTTCACAAGATGATGCTTTTTAGATCATACATATTTTGCTAGAACCCATGCAGCTTAAATGCACAAGTTGCTTCATATTTGACTTTAAATAACTCTTATTTCTTTCTATATATCCATTTGGATTTCAGTTGTTGTGTATCCAAGCAGTCACTTTATATTCCAACATGTGTCTCTAATGTGGAGCGTACACATTGTGGTGCACTGTCCCCTCTCCTGCAGCCTCTCATCTCAGAGTGTTGTTTGCCTGCGGCCTTTGTCGTACTGTTTCATAGCACTTAACCAGTCAACGTGGGGAGTCCTTGGCTTAGGAAGTCCTGAGCCATAAATTTAATCTCCACAATGAGCAGAGCACAGGGGCTGGTCAGGACCCCCATTTACTTTCTAACCCAGCTTTTATTCATACCCTCCCTAAATAACATCAGACCCTCCTGTTCTGTCCCACCCTGAAATTCCCCGATCCCCTCTGTCACCCCTTCTTTCTCATACCGAGCCGATACAACAGGGTTACTGCTGAGCCCGCCGGCCCGCTCATTAAGCATCGTGTTCTCTCCCACCCATTCCTGCCCTCTGTCCTATTCACACCGCAGTCCTCATTACAACTTTACAGGCCACCATCAACCGCCACCTCATTACCCCAATCCACCGGCTAAAAGACACGCTGAGATGGTGTGTGGTCACATTGTCTTTTCAAAATCTGAAATTATCTGTAAAGCTATGCAAAATATCTGGTTTAGGGGCTGATTTTAAGTTGAATAAGTTTGTTTATTACGTGTTAATACTGCAGGTGGTGGGATAAACAGTAAAACACTGAAAAGACACATACTGAGACACATGGAAAAGCATAGAAATCATGCTTTGGTTTCCTTCTAATGCATCATTTTTGATAGTTTTAGTTAAACATTTTCTAAATGTATAAATAAAATCATGTACCAAACAGAGAAAGTGAATTGTTGTTAGACAAATAACAAGAGGAAACATTATTGGTGGGGAAGGATTTGGACTTTTAGCAAAAAAAGAAATAGTTTTCAATAAATGTTTAATGAATCCTCTTTTCATGGCAGGCCAAAGTGTTTTTGGGGCCCCATGGAAACACCAAATGTCAAAATCATGACATTATTTAGTGACCCCTGTTGCTGAGGTCACATAAGGCCAACCGGCTCTCCCTGAAGTCACTAAAAACCTTGTGTCCATCTTGTTTTTCTCACATGTATTACTGTTACTCAATGATAAACCAGGTTGTCAGTTCAGTTTGGTGTAAAGAGTCTGCACTGCATCGCCATTTCTCTTTACCGATTCAACACATCTTTACCAACAGAAGACAGCATACAGAGTATATCTGAAAACTGATTGAAACTAAAGGATTGATTACCTTTCAGCCACACATCGATATTCTTACACCATATTTAATATCGGAGATCCAAGACAAAGATGGGATGTAAGAAAAGGGCATGATCGTTCCTATCACCTGCCACTTCCAAATCAAATCTTCACCTGGACCATTAAACCAGATTTTCTCTGAGTCGGTGTTGGGGGATTACAGTCTATCTATTTTAAAAGGGGGGCTCCACATGCATTCGGTATAGTTATTTACCTTTACTGTGGACCACTTTGTAATTTCTATGAGAAATGTTAAGAGTTGTGATATGAAAGTACACATGGAGTTTTGGAGGGAACACAAATTGAAGCTGTGCATGTTTTGCCAAAATCAAATTGTACTTTTGATCATCGAAACATGACATCTTACACTTATGATTGGAACCAGGAGAATACGTATAACAAAAATAAGATGATAAACATAAAACTATTAAGTCATGCCGTTACAAAATGAGTGAAAACATGGGAATGGTCCTTTTTGATGTGTGTTAGTGTGTCGCTGTGGTAATGAACCCCCGGCCCTCGATTTGCCCTCTGAACCCTCGGTGGCCTTGGAAGCAGGAATTCCAGTTAACGCATCACAGATGAGTTTTCTTTTCTTCTTGTTTTGTGTTTTTGTTGCTTCTCGCCAAACGTAGGCTGGGTGTGGACGGGACCTGACAGCCAGCAGCCCTCTCGCTCCTCTGTTTTCCTGTCTTCTTTCTTCCCTTCCTTTCTCTCCCTCCTCTGTTTGGGCTCCTCTTTCTTGCCTCCTTTTCTGCTTAATTGAGTTGTTTGGCAGGCGGGCTTGTCAGACAGCACCGTCTATGTGGGGAGTCTGAGGGGCGGGGGGGCCCCCGCCATTGTGCTCCCAGAGACGGGTTACTTTTTCACCGTTACTGCTGCATGAGTGAACATGGCCCAGATTAGAGCGAGGGGCAGCTGGAGGAACATTTACGAAATATCACAAACTTCTATTTTGCATAATATTAAATTATTACAAAAATCTGTAATGGTTTTAGTTTTTCTGCAAAGTTTGTAGCTCATAACAACCTAATTTGTGCAAATATAAGGTGTCTTTTT